GCCATATGAGAGTGATCATCCCCAAGTTACCCCCCAGAGTGATGAGATACACAAAGAGAAGCAAGACGAAAAGGGCGATCTTCTGATGGAGATGACCTGTGAGGCCTAAGAGAAAAAACTCCATCACTGCTGTCCGATTCTTCCCTTCCATTGGTGTTGCCTGGAATCTGTTATTTTTTTAAGAAAGGAGTTTACTTTTTACAAAAAGTGTAACCATTAACATCTCTATATAATATTTAGCTAGTGACTAATTATCTTAGACAAGTCTATAAATAGTGAGATATTGTTGAGATAGTATTCCTGACTGCTAGGTCTGGGCTGTTATGAAAAGGTCCTGTGCAAGTTTGGGTGATTTAGCCTCCTTCTCTTTGGATTCTGTACCTACTCCTGTCAGGAATTGATCAAGCTTAATTATTATAGAATTATATTTCAAAAGAGAATTTCTTTTAGTATTTCACCTTATTGTATGATGGGATAATGAAACCCGCTTAGGAGTAACTGGAGTGAGAATACTGTAGAAATGATGGGATGTTCATATCTTAATGTGAAGAAAAGGCTAAGTAAGACATTGCTTGTCTTTACTGAATCATCAATAATATATTATTATGACACAATTCATATATGTACATATTGTTATTTAACCTTATAAAGGGATGTCGAAAAGACAAAATACAAATATGACTAAGAGTTTCTCATTCTGAGGCTCAGTAGACATAAATGATAGCTGCTTTTGTTCTTAAAGATCTGTCCTTAAAGAGAGAGAAAACAAGATACACTTTATTATAGATGTGAAGTAAAAGAAGCTTCAAGAAAATCAATGTAAGATAAGAATAATAAATAGAAAGGCTTCTCCCAACAGTGTAAATTTTTAAAAAGTATGATGCATGGGAGGACGTGAAGATGCCTCAGAACTCAGGTGGTCTGACCAATTTGGCTGTAGCATGTCATGAAAACTGGACAGAAAATTAAACATCATGTGAGCTAAAATAACACAGAATTATGGTATAAGAAGTTGTAGGTTTTAGACAAACTTCTCTTAGTGCATGTATTGTGAAATCAGTAATGTATATGGGAAAAGTCAAATTTATTTTATGCAGAAAAAACCTTCAGCAAAATATTTTCAAGTCACTCATGAGTCAAAAAACAACAAATAAAACCATTTAAAACTTCTATGAGATGATGATTGTGTAAGATAATTGATATGAAAAATATGGTTTATACAGCATAATGAATTAATGTCTTCTGGAAATGAAGCAAAATGAAATCAAGTTATAGAATAAATATTTTGTGAATTCAATATAGTTTTTTTTTGTTTTTTGTTTTTTTTTTTTTGGTTTTTCTCTGGTACCGGGAACCAAACTCACGACCTTGCACTTGCCAGGCAGGCGCTTTGCCGCTGAGCTAAATCCCCAGCCCCAATATATAGTATTTTTTAAGTCATAAATCATAACTCCACCTACTTTGTTTATGATTATATTATCATTATAATGATTTTTCACCTAATGTTATATATATTGTATTTTTCACAGTCACAAAAACATAGCATCTAGGATTTTAATAGAGACATTTTCTACTACAGGAATTTTTTATTCATAATTATCAAAATATTTCCACATAGGTGCCTGGAGATAAGATACAGTACAGAATGCTTTCAGATTTAGTTCAAAACCTGTTTTACTTATTTACTTATTTATTTGAATGCTAGTCACCTTTAGTTTTCTATAAAATGAAAAGATATTTTATGGCATTTCCATATCAGTGATTTTGTGAGTTTAGGATTCATGAACATCATTTGTCTCTCTTTTTACAGAGTTTTTTCTTTTTTTTTAATGGGTAAAAATTGCATCTAATGGCTAACTTAACTTACTTCATACACTTATTTTTTGTAGTGATGACACTGAAAATCAGCAATGTTCAAGATACAACAGTACTGCTCAAGGCTACAGTACATTGTTATTAACTATCATTATTAAAACAACAGACTATTTATTTCAGAAAAGATATCTTTCAGAGCAGTTGTTTACTCTGAAAAGGATATGAACAAAATGCCAACATCTGCTCTTTCTTGAGAACCTGGAATAGAAGACAATGATCCCAAAGTTCAAAGTAATCCTGATATCTTTACCATATTCCAAAAACTTAATCTTGTCCGAAATACAACATACTCACTTCTTGAGGCATGTCCTTATAGATTGCCCTTTATTTCAGAACAAGTCATCATTTTCTCTTTTGAGGGGCGGGTGTTTCTTTCCGGTCCAGGAATTGCACTCACAACCTCGCGCTTGCCAGGCAGGAGCTGTGCCACTGAGCTAAATCCCCAGCCCCCAAGTCATCATTTCCTAAAAGTACGGGTGGAAGCCCCAGATCTCTTCATGACAGTGACTGCTCCAAGAGGCAGTTTCTAGGCACATGTCTTGTGAGGCTGGGTACAAAGGCACCACCCTCGACACCGCTCAAAGTAAGGGATGTTTCCTTGAAAGATTTCAGTAATGTAGAGCCAGGTCCCCAAAGAACTTAAACCTCAAGGGCTTCCATCTGAAATTAAAACAATCTCAGCAGCATTTGGGCCAACTCTCAGTTCCTGAGTGTATCTTATTTCAGAGGATCCCTAAGGAAACTGCGTGTATGTGTGTGTATATCTGTATGTTTATTTTCCTCTTTAGGAATATCCTTGTAAAACACAGCTCTCTTTTCTATCAGTTAAAAATTATGCAGTTGGCAGCCAACACTAGCTAGAATAAAGGAGCATGCAACTGGAGCTACATCATTTAGGTACAAATCCCAATTCCACAGTTTACTGATGGTGTCAATGTTAAAACCACCTCTACCTCATTAATTTTATCTCTCAAATCAGGGAAGCAATGATTGCCAGCTCACATTGATGTTGCTAAGATTTATTGAAGTAATACATCTAAAACACTCTGGGTCAGAGATGCAGCTCTGCTGCATAGCGCCTGCCTGGCAGGCATGAGGTCCTGAGCTTGAGTCCAGGTACCAAAAAAGATAAAAATAAAAATAAAAAGCACTCCACAGAGTGTTCTGCACAGAATAAGTAATTGCTAATGACATTGATTATTCTTAGGAAACTAGACAGCAGTTGGAGTGATAATGCATAAATATAAATATGAAAATAAAAGAGCAGTTCCATGTAGCAATGCTTATCTCTAGGTAAGCTAAGAAGAAACCCGTTCCTGGAAGTACTAATTACATAAGCAGAAGCAGGAAGCAGAAGGAAAAGCAAGGTCATTGTTTGAGATGGAGGAGTCGCACATAAGAGAGGAAACTGTAGCGCTGAATTGATGTAAGTTGAACTATGTCAAGTATCTCCCCTTTGAGAACTGTATTTTTATCCCATCAGGAAGAGTTGATATCATATTCTATAAAGTCCCACAATATTGCACTGGTAGCTCATTTTGTAACTCCTATTAAAAATCTATCTCTAAAAAAGTTAAGCCTTAGTGCATTTACATTAACATCAAAGTAATGATATCTTAATCAAATTTACCAAGAGAAGGAACATAATTCCATGACGACAAAGTGGTCAATTTACCAAGAAGACATAAAATTCTCAAAACATGTGCAGCTATAAATAGAGGTACAAAATGCATGAAGAAAACCCTGATGAGTCCGAAAGGAAAAACAAAAATAATCCACAACAGAAGGTGAATATTTCAACATTCTTCTCTCAGTAATTGCTATAACAAGTAAACAAACCATTAGTAAGTACGTAGGAGTCATAGATAGCTTTGTGAGCACAAAAACTAGAACGAAGCACATCAACTGAAAAGGCGGAACATCCATTTATAAGTCATCAAGCTAGAACATATTTAGGCTACTTTTTAAAAATCTAAATAAATTTAAAGAATTTAAGTAATTGACATTATGTTCTCTGACACAATGTAATTACATGAGAAATCATTATGCGAAGATCTCTGAAAATTCTATGTGAAAATCAGTGCCAGTTCCAAATAACCTTGGAGCGAAGGAAAATTTAGATGTATAGAAATTAGTGTTAATAATAAAAATGGAAAACATCAAAGTTTCGGGTAAGCAGATAGAGTAGCACTTAGAAAACTTTAACCCTGAACATCAGCTTTAGGAAAGATGAAAGCTTTGAGATCAGTAACCTCAGCATGCCTCAGTGATACTAGGTTCTGGTCTCCAGGACCCACAAATATTACCTAGGTGTTGAGAAGTTTTTGTAAATGTGATTAAATCAAAAAGCTGATAGGAAGAATTTGTCTTGAACTATCTGAGTGGGCCCTAAATGAAATCTGAAAAATTCTTACAAATAGAGAAAATTTTGGTAAGAAGGCAGTGGCTCAGCTGGAATGATAAACACACAAAGTATAGGTTGGTGGCAAAGCCAGAAGACACAAGTAATAGGTTCCCCTGGTGCTTCCAGAGAGCACGATCTTCCTGCAGCCTTCATCTGCACCCAGTCTGCAGTGATTTGCTATTGTGGCCATAGTAATAAACAGGAGAAAGGAAACAGTAAAGATCACAGTGGAAGTCAATGATATGGAAATCATAATACAATGGAAAATTAAAAATCAGCGAATTCTATGAGATCAATAACAGTCAATAAATTATTCACCAGCTTTATAAAAGAAAAAGAGCAGACAAACATTATTAATATCTATCACTACAGAAATGGCAGCACTATAACTTCTACAGGTATTGAAAGGATAAAGAAATGTTTAAAACAAAGTTATGCTAATAAATTCATCATAGGACAAGTGGATAAATTTCTCCAAAGACACTAGCAAATCTCACTCAC